TCAAACACCGAGTCCTTCATCCGAGTGCTTCATCCGAGTGCTTCATCCTCCACACCCTGACTCTAATCACCTCAACTTCTTCTTTCCACTCTTCTTTTCGCTCGCCGTCCAACGACCCCCCCCCGTCGCCGTCACCGTCGCTGCGCGGCCGGTCCTCCCACTGGGCGATGGCCGCGAAGGCCTCGTCACGCTCCTCCTCCACTCGGTCTAAGGCTTTCGTGGCCTCGGTGGTCTGGCCCGGTTGGGATCAGCAAAGGGTGACCGGTTGGGTGAGCGCTTGCGCGAGGGGTGAGCGCGCAAGCGCGCTCAACGTCCGCGCTTGCGTGGACCGGTGGAGGTCGGCCCTTTTTCGTGTTGCAGATATGACCTATAGGTTTCAGTGGCCTCAAACCCGGATTGAAAGGGTCAGATTGAAGTAAGTAGACAACTGGAAGTTCTGGTTGATTGGAAAGGAGGAAAAAATGTGTTGCGCACCCAACGGTCACTTCTGTCAATGTGTAGCTTTTAAAAACTAGTGTCATAGGATCGTTGTTCAACAGTTGGAAAGCTGGTTCCAGCTATCCTGATCGTTCTTTACTTGGTGGGGTTGCTTGAGATTTGTGCTTTGGAGAGTTCCACTTTGAAGTGGAACATGGCCTTAGATTTGCGTTCAATAGATTACAGGTATCTAATATACCAGGTCCTGGGCAAACTCCAACTAATTAGAACTATAAGATACTATAAGTCAATATAGTCAAACATTGTTTGCATACCAATCCCGCACTGCTTACACCTTCCAGTGCCTGGCCTTCTTTTGGGCTTCTCCCCAACCGTTGCCGGGCTGAGTGTCCGACATCTTTGTTTTGCTCCTGGAGGAACCGCACATTGTTATACCTGCCGTTGCCAGCTGATGCGCAGCCGATGAAACCACAAAAGGACTCGTGCCAGAACAGGACAAAGGGTAATTACTGCAACGAGGATCATCTTGCTTTTGTTCATGCTTTCTTTTTTTTTGGGGGGCACCGGACTTGGCACAGGCAGAGGTGTTTTCAATCCTTTGGATAAGTTTTGAGCTTTTGACTGAAGCCTAGGGAAAGAAGTGCTGGTAAAAAAGACATGGAGTCAGTTCTGTATCAAAAAAAAACCAACGGGTCTGCGTGAACACGCTGCAGTCACCGCAGCCTGTGCAATCAAATCCAACTCAACATTGTGCTGCGTCTGCACAGGAACGACGCGACGACGTCCCATGTCCCACCATCAGTCCAAATCAATCGAACGGTAAATCCTAAATCCTCCCACTCACGTTCCATGGAACTGGAGTTCAACACCGGACTGCAACTTCTGGAAAAAAGGAGTCTTCCCCAGACTGCAAGTGTTCACCTCCATGTGATGTTCGTCCGAACGACATCGTAGCCCTTGGATGCCCTTGGTGGATGTTCGTCCCAGCGTCCGGAGGAAGCCTCACTCGGTTCAGATGGCGAATCAACACCTGGGGCCCCATCCCTGTAAACCATGTAGCTTGTGTCATTGTACAGTGGACATGTACCAACATCCTCAAAACCTAGCTTAGCTGAAGGGACCTGCAGATGTGCCTGGACTTGCGCAAGTGACGTCAGTAAGTGAACCGTTCCGGTATGTATTAAACCACAGCCACATCTTCTCTGCTCACCACAGCCATCCATTTTCGTTTGCTTCGCCTGAAGTTCTCATGCTGCTTGTCTCCCTGTGGCTTTTGCCAGGTATGGGTCCCTGCTAATGGAGCCCCATCAGGAAAACCTCGGTCTCGACCGGAGAACGGTCCGTTTCGGATGAAAGACACGCAGGCGGAGAGGTAGAGCAAGGAAAGTGTACGGTGCGGGTCTTCTCAAACACCTTGCCGAAACAAAGTTCAACAGTTTCACCCTGCTAACATGTACTTTCATGGTGGTCTTTCAGTCTTTCATCTATGAACCAGCCTGCCGACAGATTTGAGATCTAAGCCTCTGGGGCATAAGACTCTTCGGCAAACTGAGACATAGTGTGCAACATGGGCTGAGAGTGTTTCAGTTCAGGGGTCATGGACAAAGATTCAACTCAACCCATCTTGGGTATAACGGCATACCAGTAACAGTGGACGGTGATGGTTGGTAAAGCCTTTCTCAAAAACAAGGATCATTGTTTACCGACTGTTGCAGGTCATGGGACAGAACCCAAACCCATTCTTTTTGAAACCAACATGGGAAACAAGTTCCCTTTGCTGTCATTGGATGGCTGGATGTCATCCCAGGAACAAACATAATCATGACATTGGGCCAGTCTGGTTTTTGGTGATGTCCAGATCCACTTTTCCAGGAGACACGTGTTGTTGCAGATCTTTTTGCTCCCAAAGTACAAGATTCCTTATCTATGAACCATGGGCAACATGCTGCGAAACGATTGGAGACACAATTCGCCTGCAAAAAGTCACATACTTCCCCAACAGGAGTTGTCCATGAAAAAACCCTTGAACAGGTCCATCAGTCCATCACACGAGTCCATTGTGGGCCATCAGAAGTGATACAAAAAGCAATGTTCTGTCCTCATAAGCTGTTGTAAGCTGTTGCTGTCCTCTGATATACACCCCAACACAACCCCGCCAAAACACTCGGGGTTCGAACGTCAGAGCTTGAACGTCAGAGGTGGGTGCCATGCGGTTCTCTTTTCGCCCCACCTGTGGATGCCTTCGTCCCCACTGAGGCCACTACCGCCCGAGTCATCACCTGTGAAGATGCAGGCGGTAGAAACCTTGAATTCAGAATACTTCCTCTATTCCGGAGGCAGTCTTGTATTTGCTTGATGGAAGTGCGGAAAACAGGATATCTTCCACACTTCTTCCAATCAAAATCACCAATCATATTGAAAGCTTTTGGTGCTAATAAACAGTCATGATGAACTGGAATCCAGGTTGGAGGCACAGCGTAACCAAACATGTCCAAATGCTTCGGCATCAGCGAGTATGTACAAACGGGTGGAGGCCATCGCTATTAGGTTCCGAGTTCCTTAGGTTCTCACGGGGAGCGACCTTTCGGAATGTTCAACCGATGCCTTTCGAGAAAGAAGATACCGGCCGGTGTCTAATACAGTTTTAGTGGGAATCTACTTTTCTATCTATTTGGGGAGCTATATGCCCCAGTGGATTGCCCTGTTTAAATCAATGACACCTACAACGTTCAGCCAGGAGACCACACGTCATTGCTCCAATGACACCTCTGAGTTGGGTATATCCTATTCAACAGCGGACGATGCTTCAGTCGCAGGCCGACATCCATCCATCTCTCAAACAGTGTCCGACCTCTGTCCCACCTTGTTGACCTATGTCCAGTGTCCAACCAGCTTTCCTGGAACACGCTGCGCTGCGCTGTATACTGCCTGTCCCGACACACGCTGACGGCCAACACGGCGTGCAACGCGCAACGCCACACGCTCAACGCGCTCCGCCGTACCTTCAAAGGTCCGCTGCTCGTCTGCCATGGCATCCGGTGAAACCGAGTCTTCTTGAACCCTCGAAGAAGCGGCATCCGGCGTCCGCACAACGGAAGGATGGGTGGGATTGACCGGTGAGAGGAGAGAAGGGAGTGGTTTTGAACTCCCCATGATCCATGGGAGAAACAAAAGAAGGGCTGATTGAGTAGAGACTTTTGAATGTTTTGACATCTCAAATGCACATCAAACAAAAACGGACAGTGATCGAAACTCGTTTGGAAGCACCTGATCTTGCAATTGGTTTTCATCATCTTTAGATCCCGTATTCTCCCCTGAGACCGTATAGTTCAGTTCACCGAGACCGTGTAGTCTTTTTTTGCACCTTCAAACGAAGACCAAACACAAAGCTACCCGATGCCACCCGAGCGCATCCGAGAGCTACCCTTGGTACTTCGCGACACATCAAATCGACTTGTTGCATGGCTTGTACTTCACCACTCATTTGCATGCAACAAAATGTAAGATCCTAAGATCCGTGCAACATTGCCACGTGAGAGATGGTCAAAACTGATCCAAATTCACTCTTCCGCTGGTGGTTAGCAGATCGGTTCTTGGCACCAACTCCCCGTGTCCATACACCTGAGAAGGTCTGAGCTTAAGGCTCCCGAGCCTGGTCCTTCCGGTTCATGCAGCATCAAACAACCGAAGCCACAACTGGATGACCAGTACCAGAAGCGAAGAAGAAAAGCAGTGAACATCGCCGAAAAACATCTGTCCTGCGTGGATTTATCGAGGTGTCCTGGTGCCCTGATGCGATGTCTTTTGGCATGATCTACGGGCCAAAGTGCCTGAAAAGGACCGGAACGATTCGGCAAGATGAGGATGTTCGACAAGGAACAGTGAACTATAGGGTATTCAGTGATTCTCATCTACCTTGCCCATACATCACCCAAGGGTATTTTGAAGAAGTGCCCTGACTCACCTGCCTCCCCCACCGCTTTGCATGGGAATTACCGTTTTTGTCCACCCGCTCTGCTCATCTTCTTGGTCCGCCAAACGCGCAGGCGAACGCCGAGATCGGATGGAGATCTCCTGCGCGCCCAGGGTCGCCGGGTGGAAGAGAGAGGGTCCGGTTCGTCCGACCGCAACCGCGGTTTCCTTTTTCCTACGACGTCCGACTCGGACGGGAAGGACGTCCTTCACTGAAGTCGGTCTGCTGACCTGTGGGTCAAATCAACAATTCCCATATGGCTGTGGGTGAAAACCCTCCCTCCCCGAGCTCCTTTCACCCCGGTAAGTTGACCTCCTTAGCGGCAGCGCAGTCCATTGTGTTTAGTTGGATTCTAATTCTAATGCTGATTCTTGTTTCTAATAGCTTTTTGTTACTAGTAGTAAGGCCAGGAGCCCCTCCAGGAGCCCAGTAGCGTCCTTGCTCCAATGTCAACCGAGGTTGGTCTCCCGTTTTTTGGACCCACAGCCATCTTTGGCGGCAGCGCAGAGCAAGATATGCCTCTCGTGTGCTGGACTTGTTGAGTATGTTTCACTCCGTACTACCACGCACTGTACCGGCACCGCCTCTCCTCCCAGACATCTCGCGCCCTGAGCGGCCCCAGGTTCAGCACGAAGGTCGACTCGATCCCCAAGGGGAAGACGCTGGCGGCTGGCCTCGGAAGGCAGTGAAAAAGCAGATAAGCCAAGAATAGGTCAATCTAACATGGATTTTTCCCCAAACAGTTTATGGTAGGGGTTCTCAATTCTTTCTTAAGATGTGTCCGCCCTTTGTGTCACTGCTGGTGTCCAATTCATTTGTCTCCCAGGTCTGTCACTGCTGGTGTCCGCCCTTTTCCGCTGGCCATGTAGCATTTCTATTCATTTGTCTCCCAGGTCTGTCACTGGTGGTGTCCGCCCCTTTTCGGCTGGCCATTTGCGCAGCGCCCGTCCTGCTCCATCAGCAGTTGCGAGCTAGGGAAGGGGGGAAGCGTGCCTGCAGCGCAGCTTTGTATACAGGCCCGGAAGCCACAAGCTCACATTTGCGGAGGTTGAGTTGCAAGCCAATGGCTTGACAGGCTTGCTGAAAAGTTTGCATGGTGGCCGCCGAAACCACTTTACGTACAAACCTGGATAGCCCCCCAGCTTGCCAGGCCGGCGAACTATTTCTTATCAACCAGCCGAGGCCAAATAAGCCCAGGATAACTACAACGTCCAGTCTGACGATTTATTTCTCCCCATAGCAATGGCACAGAAGTATCCAAGTGAAAGTATGCAAGTGTAAGTATCCCACTTACACTTGAACACTTGCACACTTCTATACTTACAATGGCACAGAAGTATCCAAGTGAAAGTTTGCAAGTGAAAGTATGCAAGTGTAAGTATCCCAGTGTAAGAGTGAAAGCATCCAAGTGCAAGTATGCAAGTGTAAGTATCCCAGTGCAAGTATGCAAGTGTAAGTATCCCAGTGTAAGTATGCAAGTGTGAGTATGAAAACTTTCACGGGAGATATCCTAATGAACAACTTTCCCCCACTTTATAAATTCTCTTTAAAGGCGGAGGGTGGGACGAACAGCGTCAACCGAAAATGCAGCCCTCTGCGGAGATCGTGCGTGTCGAGTGCGCGAAATGCAGGCGAGAGTGCGATTTGTCCCATGCGCGCGCAACCCTCTGCGGAAATCGTGCGTGTCGAGTGCGCGAAATGCAGGCGAGAGTGCGATTTGTCCCATGCGCGCGCGATTTGTCTCAACACACTAGACTTAACACTTCCCACTGAACACTTCACACACAACTCACACTCTAACTTCACACGTGGTGAAAAATGCTTTCGGGCCTCTCGTCGTCTAGTATTTTTTTTGGGGGGGTCGAAACAATGGAGCATGACTCCCTTGTCTCCCGTGCTGATGCCTCGGGGCTTCTCTTTGGACAAAGCCTCATTCGGCTTGACAGCCATCTTCCTCAAGAGCGGCCTCTCCTCGGTTTGGAGGCCAACTCGCATGAGGGCGTCGAGGTATCTGCTCTCCGTCCATTTGCCCGACTTCATGACTTCAGGCTTGCGAGAGGTCAAAGATCTTGTGCCGGTCTCGTAGGCGTCCTGCAGGTACTTGCGCACCAAGCTAGATGCACGGTCACTGTGCTTGCGCCCAAGTTCAGTGACCTTCCTCACATGTCCATCTTCCTTGAAATGCCTATTTTTTCTTCATGGCAGCAACACCATTGCCTACGGTAGGCGCCGCGAGGTGTGTTCCCGCAATTTTGCCACCAACCACCTCCTCTCCGAGCAGGTTCCAAGCTTGGTGTGGTGGTCTTCGGACTCCTTCAAGTTCCGTTCCAGCAATGCATGCAACAGCCTCACCCTCCTGGGCTCGTCACACGTCTTTCAGGGCCTCCTTCTTCACATGGTCAGCGTTGAATGTGAACTCACCGCCCCGAATTGGCTCACGTATCTCCTCCGACAGAAATGATGTGTCACCCTTCACATGGTCGCGGTTGCATATGTCAGTGATATGCACGTCAAACCCAGAGAGCACCTGCTCTTCATCTAACATTGATGTCATCAACTCTCCCAGCTGTGAACACAGAACAGTGAACACGTTATGTATATATCGTTATATTGACATCCTTTCTTGGATGCCACACAGGACACATCCTGTCCTCCCACAATGACTTCGGAACAGCGGTTCCCCACCTCTTCTCCCTCGGACGACGGAAAAACAGCGCCGTTCCACCGCCTCGTTGTCTCGCCGCCCCGTTCCACCGCCGAACAACGTTCCGCGCCACCGCGGTCCGTTCCCCGCGCCGAACGCTCGCCGCCTCGTCACGGCGGAACGGCATCGTTCCAGCGCGGCGCGGGAGGCTTTGGCCAAGCCTCGAGCGAGCCGGGGCTGTGCTGTGCCCAGCTGCTGGTGCCAAGCGCACAGGACGACTCACGAATACAAGCACAAGCACCAAATGGGATAGACTAAAAGGATTAGAAAGGCTTCCACAACACTTGGGTATACGACAAACACCACAAACACAAACATATGCGCTTTTAAGCCATTTATCATACACTTGCCGTGTTTTATGCCACCTGGCAGTTCCTTTTTTGTCCCAGGTCCAGGTCGAACCCCAAGCAGACTGAGGCCCTGGACAGCGCTGGAGGTAGCCCGAAGTCTGGTCCAGGTGCGCCTTGTCGAGTGTTTGGCCGACGTGTGGAAAAAAGCATCCGGGGGATCAACAACGGGTGGAGGTTCGTCAGTTTGGGACTTGAAACACGGATATGACAACATGTTGTAAACAGTCGAGATGTTTCCACCTGCAAAGGTTGTCAAAAGGGTTTCCAAGCACGTCTGATGGATGCCAAGTTAGGACATCTGCTGGTTGAGGACGTCTGCAAGTTAGTTCGTCCTAGAAGGTTTCTGAACTTCTTCTTTTGGTGTTGGAGGTCAAAGGATGGGCTACCGTATGGGTTGCCACTACGTACCATTTTCGGGCATAGAAATGGTGAAGTGGTGCTGTGTGAAGCGGCATGTGATGTAGCTTTCTTAAGGCATAGGTTGATCCACCTTGCACACAAGCTTCATACAACCAACCCCACCACTAGCGGTCGCGTGAGACTTCATCAGAGCCGAGGCATTGACGTTGCCACCAGACGTTGCCACCGGACGCCAATGAAGACTGGAGAGGAAAAAAAAGGCCGACCACACCACCCTGCTGACGGTTTCAGATCAGTCAAAGGCCTCCCGTTCCATTTTTGGTGCAGGTGAAACACGAACCACCCACGCCAGCTATGACAGTCGAACCACGCAGGGTGTGCCAACACACGACAGTTCGAGCTTTCACTTGACTTGGTCCACTGGGTGAGCAATGCCGCACGCTCAGGTCCTTACTTCTCCGAATGTGTCAGGTCGCCGTTCAAATGCGAGGAAAAGAACAAGCGAGACCCCTCCAATGAAGCTTGGTGATCTAAGATCACACGAACCCCAAGAAATAATCTCAGGAGTTTCCAAGTACCTGGAAACCTCGTTATTCACTTCTTCATGGAAGACACCACTTGTACATGTTTTTCTGCCTTTGGCGTCCGTTTGGCGTCCACTGCGTGCTTCCGAACGCCCTCCACCGATGCCTCGCTGCGCCAGGTCTCCTGAAAGGCGTTTTAGGCATCGGACGTTTGGGGAGGTTCGTCTGTTACCGTCGCTTTTGTTCCTTGGTTCATCCTTGTTTTCTCTCCTTCCTCTTTTTTTGTTTTCTATTTTTAGTGTAATCTTCTATAGTCCATATTCTACTATATTCTACTAATTGTTCAGATCTGTCTTTCGAAACCATTTGAGGGTTCATAAGGGAAGCCGTCTTTGCCTCATGAAGACTGATAAATTTGGCAAATCTGCCAGGGAGGATCCGACAACTTTTCAGCCTCTCATGGGTAGGAGGGACCATCCCTAGTAGAGTAGTAGAGCAATTCAAGCCTGTTCATTGGATTTTCATGGGTGTCACCGGTTTCCACTGGGTGTCACCGGTGGTTTGTCAGTTTCCTTGACCAGGACTCGAAAACCAAATGGCATGATCGCACACATTCGGGATGAATAGCAAGACCTGGCTTTGAGTGCCAGGTTGAACACCTGACAAACCCACACATTTTACAGTATAGTTCCCTCTTCCTTCATCAGTGGCTTTGCACCTTGGTTCTGAAAACCTGACCTTGAAGATTTCCTTCAACACGAGAACACGCCGCGGCGGGTGAACATGATTCTTTTGGCCAATTGGGTTTTGGATGTTTCTGGATCATCAACCAATTTTGCGATAAATGCGGACAGCCAACCTACCAACAAAGGAAACAGGCAAACGAACACAATTTAAGAGAAGCCAGCTGCAAGAAACTATGGTTCTCAGCAACATGTTTGCCTTTACCGGGGCAATTCAGGATCTTATTTGTTCTGCAGTGGGCCGAGACCGCTGGTTCCGTGCGTTCCTTCCGACCAGCCTGCGTCCACCGGTCAGGGTCGGACGCCAGCTTCGTCCACCGGCGGTGCAGCACCCATTGAAGCCACGTTTCGGTGCACCAAGCAAAGACCCGCTGGAGCAGCCCTTCCACTCACATGGAGAAACATCGAAGAGCGTGCGTCCGTGGGTCCTTGAGCGCTTTTCTTCCCAATCCTGAGACCGCCCTGACAAGGAGGTCCAGCCCTCCTTGTACGACTGCACTCACTCCGAAGCGAAGACTCCACTTGCTCAGCTCTCTTTCTTCTATGTCTTGCGCACCTGTGACATGGGAGAGCACAACCCTTTATGTGGGGTTCCCAGCTTTCTGCGCAACCCTTCAAGCTTCACGGCAGATCTCCGCAGCACAGAGATCGCAAGGAATCCCTCAGCAACCGTCCCAACGCGCTGGCCCCAAGTCTGCCAGAAGCTATGCCGTTTCGCCGGACCGAGCCCACTCCACAGCGTCATCCCCCATCCTGCTACGCATACATCATGGCATGTACAAGATCAATAAATATGACCAAACACTCCATGTATGGAAGAGATGCCTTTTTTATGTTTGGGGGTGCTTTGGGGGGGCCCCATGTAGGAAGATGTGGCAGTCCCATGGAGTGTCTGGGTTGTATGCTTTTGGATCCGAGGACGTGCAAGCCTCACCCAGCCGGCTTGCTCGCTCGTGGCGCTGGTGTCTTTGGGTTAAGCCTTGGTACACGTCTCGATATGTGCGCCTCGCCAGGCAAAGCATCTCATAGCTGTGTAAAGGACAAACATCGGCACAAATCATGTGGAACACACATGAAACCGCAAAGGAGTTCGAAGGCAGCGGCAGGACCAAGTACGCAGCCTTATGAGATGGAGGTCAGGATGTGGCGCATGCGCGCACGATGAAGGATGCAGAAGGACGCAGCGGCCTTTTAAGCGACGACCTGTCCCCAAAAAGATTTGCTAAAGGATTCCTGAAGGGAAACATAGGGAAACCAAAGATTCCTTATGGATTTCCATCACCTTCAGCAACAGGATTGACTACGATTGCCCAACTTTGTCGATTCCACCATTTTCCTCTCCAAACTGCTCCTCCACTTCGGCTGCCGCCACTTCCTCCGTGCTCTTCTCTTGCAAAGCCCTTTTGGCACCCAGCAGCAGCAGGGGCCACAGCTGGGGGAGCAGCGCCCACGCGGCGGAGGACTGGAGTAGCGGGGTTTTCAGGGTCCCACGTAAAACAGGGCCGTTGCTGGCGCCTCCTACACCAGTGGAACAGGGATAAGGTTGCTTGCAAATTAAAAGGGGAGTCTGGCACTACATAATCGTGTGCCTATAACTATAACCAACAAATGGAGGAATGCCCCTAGCCAAAAGTAATCAACTGTAATTAGAGAAGTTGTCTGAGACCATACATCAGTAGTTCCATGTAGCACTGCACTCAATAGCAAACGGCCACACATCTCCAAAACCCACCTCTTCACTGGCGACAAACCGATCCCACCTCCCCCCCCCTTCCAGCCTCCCAACTCTAATGTGGACTGTAGACTCGTGATTAAGATGATTGCCTTTGTTACAGCCGTCTGGGCAGACCCAGTGGGGTTGGGACCCTGGCTATTTTGGGGATTCAGCCTCATCCTAGCCACCACGCCTTAAATATAGAAGTATATAATCATGCAACCACAGGGACCGCGACAACCGGACAGCGGCACCACCGGCCACGTCGAAGCACCATATGAGTCCCCCTGAAAACCTCCCATGGGGCGAACGTTACGCCGGGTGCCTCGCCTCGCTGCCCTTGCGCGCCGCCATGGTGGCCTTCAGCGCCGCCGTGCGGCCGGCCAGAAGCTGCAGCGTTTGGCGCCACCGGTGAGCGCGTGCGGTGCTCAAGGCCTCGGGTGCCAGGATGGGTCGGGATGGGAGTGATATTGTTACGGTTTTAGCTTCTTGTCACTACTAGTAAGGTACTTGTTACTAGAAGCGATGCACTTGTTCCTAGTAGCTTATTGTTTCTGATTCTAATTCTTGTTACGTTCTTAACTTCTTGTTACTAGTAGCAAGGCCAGGAGCCCCGAGTCAGTAGCGTCCGATCGCTCCGTTCGTAGCGATGCCAGGAGCCCCGTTGGTAGCTTCTTGTTACTAGTTACTAGTAGCAGTAAGGCCCTTGTTACGAGGAATTAGCGAATTTATATTGGATTGACTTCAATCACAAATGACCGTTGGGCAAGACATCTTTTGGCCAAGATGACCACGTCCACCATCTCAAGATCAACAAGTGAAGAAAATACATGTGACAGAATCACAGGTGACCAAGGACCCAAAATTCTGCTCCAAGGGCCGTGCGAAAGGTTTTCTTGGTGGCTTTCCATCCCTTGAGAACCAACACAAACTCCCAAACACAATCTGCTGCATGTCAACTCACCCAGCCATACGTGCTTTCCCATCTTCACGACCCATGGGTCCCCCATTCTTCAAGAACCTGACCAACAACACCCAAGATCATGACAACCCGAAAACTATTTTGGGTCGAGACCGACGTTCCCCAACATAAGTTTCTCTTGACAACAATGCCGTAGAACTTGTCAGATCTGCTATGTGCATGGAATGAATGCAAAAGGCGCAAACAATCTACGTTCCTTGACCCTTTTGGCACTTGATCATGATACACAATTATTCTTTTGCCTGATGGAAGGACACCAACATCATTCACCAAGGAGTGTCCTGGTCAGTGTTGGTTGAGGGGCAGAACCAAGACCTGTCAAAAAATGGGCGGGGTCCCCGTAGTACCATATCTGGTGGCGTGAAACAGCCCCCAAACATATTTCAGAAGTGGGTTGGATAAACAAACACTCCAATTTGCCAAAGCACCGCCCATACATCCATTGAATCATCTGGAGTTCTTTCAACTTCTAGGCTTGTTCTAGCATCAAACAGTGTCGCGCGAACGGCAACAAACCTAATTCACTGGGCGAAACGGCTGCCAAAAAAAACTAAGGGTGCACATGGACCCCCACACTCAGCACCCTGGCCCATCACAGTACGTTTGTTGAAAGCAGTGGTCTTCTAAGGGTAAGGGATCAAAAAGAAAATAGAAATAGAAACAAAAAAAATTCAACGGGGATCAATAAAAAAAGTAAAAAGGAAATCAAAAAAGTATTCTAGCCCACTGAGGATGGTTGGGGTGGTAGTAGTAGTAGTAGTAGTAGTAGTAGTAGTAGCAGTAGCAGGTAGTAGTAGCGGACGAAATCAACAGAAAAGAACAGGATCAAAACAATTACCTCACGATGCTAGACTACAATTTCTGTAAGACAGTTGTCTCTGAGTGGACCAAAGGCCGAGTCCAGGACCAGAAGAGCAGTGGATTAGGAGACCAAGGGAAAAGGATGGAAGAAGTAGGGGGCTAGGAGAGTGTACCTCCCTAGGAGCTCCTTCCTAGTAGGGAGCTATTTCTACTGGTGAACCATTTTTCGAGCAGGGCTACTCAATGACTGGACGGCTACCTTATCATTGGGTACCTACTTTCCTCCCAGGGAGCTGCCTCTAGTAGAAAGCAATCAAGCCTCTATTTGCGCAGGCAGGGGACCTGGAGACCGACAGACGAGCGGAGTAGGAGAGCAAGAGACCAGCAGGAGACAGAAGGACCAGGATACCAGAAAACCACCTGGCCATAGCACCAGAGGACCAGGAGACCGGAGGACTAGGGGACCAGTGGACTAAAGGACCAAAGGACCAGGGGACCAAAGGACCAGTGGACCAAGGGACCTTATTACCAGAGGACCCGCAGACCACAGGGCCAGGAGAGCAGCAGAAGAGGCCTATCAAGGAATATTTTTTTGATTTGCTTTCTATTTTCTTTATATGATATTTTATTTTTTTTGTCGATGCTCTTTTTTGATACCTATGCCGTCTTCCAACCCAATGAGAACGCTGCCCTCTAGTCTATCAACTCAGTCATGTCTAATGTTGATACGGGGTTAAGTAACCTCCCACTATTAATCAAACCCACCTCGAGCCCCCAATAAAAAATTAGTCTAAGGCCTGAATTTCCACGTTGGCATCACTTTAATATTTTTCTTTGCCAGAAACCACCCTTTATTACACAAACCCATCTGCCCCCATAAAATAGAAACTAGTTCATTAGTACATTGTTTTATTATTGTTAAAGCTGCAATCTATGCTGCCAGCGTTCTCCCAAACAACTTGTTTTTTTCCACAACCCCTAAAAACTGTCTAACAAAGTTCTTTCATTTTCCCATATTGTAACTCGATCAACATCTCAAGGTTTTCAATCTCACACCCCTCACAAAGGCCTCATGGCCCTCACAGAATCCAATCAACCATCGTCCATCATCAGGGGGATCTGGCCTCCAATACCTCTAGTCTCAAACCTTCTTGACCTTGCGGGGCGCTTTTATTAATCCTTCGTCGACGTTATATAAGGATTCCTTTCGGGTGGTTGATCTTCATTCATGGCCCTGAAGGAAGGACGTTAGCAAACGTCTCGTTCATGGTAGTGTTGGTTTCCCCCTAATCATCTGTAACAGCCGTGTCACCGCCACACCCAGCTCCGCAGTAGATGGCGCAGGGCCGAGGCAATGCAAAGCAGTTGCCCAGCTGGTGCGCACCGCGACAGCAGGTGAAACATCGCCAGATAGCTGCGCACGCGAGGCGTTGCCTGGCAGGTCAATGGAATTGGAAAACCCGCTGCCTTGCGGGTAAACGGTTGCGCCGCTCCTAGCAGATCTGATCAGTGTCGCAGTCTACCTTCAGGTTGGCTGTCGGACAATTCCCGTTGGTAAAAACCTGTGTAAAACGTGGAGCTTGGGCCATGTGAAATGTGAAAAGCCTTGCTTGGCAAAAAGAACTGTAGAGGGTACTAAAGGGAGGTGTCCTGAACAAGCGCCACCCCAAACGCACCAGAAAAGCAACGTTGCTTGACAGGTGGGGGGGTGAATGCGTGCTTCCTCACTGACACAGGCGAAGGAGTCATCGCTTTACCACCCAAGCTGGGGTGCAGTCATACGCAGTCATTCCTCCGTAGATGCAGCAACAGCACTTTGCCATGTGGTGGTCGTGATGAAGTCGCCTCAAGTGTTCGCTCTGTCATTGCTCAGAACAAAGCCATTTGCCGAGTAGTAGCCAGAACTTAAGGACCATGGTTTCTGGTATGTCACTTTGGAGGGGCTGGAGTTGGCATCTCAAGGGCTAGGCATGGAAAACCCTTTGAGTGAAGCCCGACACCTGCCCTCAAATAGTTGCTAGACACCAAAATTCAGCCCTCCAGCCAAACGGGAATTGAACCAACGGCTTGTAAAGTCTTTCTGCTGAACATGTGCAATCTTCACAGGTGTTTCGCGCAAAAACATCCAGCACTCCAAACCAACATTGTGTCCATGTCCCCCAAAAACGGGAGAGAACCCTGGTGGCTTCACTTGTGCAGCAGCTTCAGAATGTTTCAGAACAACTGGCACAGGCAGACCGTTTTGGATGGGGGGGCCGCATTGACCACCTTGAGCATTTCTCTGGCCAAACCATTGAAGGCTTAACATAAGAACTTCCTGCAAACATCTTAGCAAGTAGTTCGGAATCTCCGCTTTCTTCTTCACCGAGCGCATCTCGACCTGTCTCATTAGACAAGCAGATCCCCATCTAAGATGTATTGGACATTGTTTGTATCAATCGCTTGTTCAGGGGTAACAACCCCCCGAGGCAAACCCAGCAGAAAGATCCTTGCGAGGTGAGAATGAACTGAATGACCTGCCTAACCTGAGATTGGGAAACTTAACAGATTGCAGTGAACCGGAAGGTTGAGCAACTTATACTAGCCAAAGTCCCTTATGCCCCTCGTTTCACAAGTGTGAAGTAGTCCTGCAGCTTCGCGTGCGATCATGTTTCAACATTCCGCCTGACTGAGGACGCAGGTCAAACAAAAACCGACCAACGGACAGATCGACCACCCTTTTCGTCGAAAGACACGCTTTTGATGGCTTCCAAACACGACTCTTCGAATCCCATGCAAGTCCACTGCATCACATGGCGCCCAGCCCACGCGCGTTGGCGGCAAATGATACACACGACTTTCTTCGAACACCATTTGTTGACGGAGCCGTTCTGGTACTCATGAAGCTGAAAGGGAAAGTCTGGAGGTCTACGGAACAAGTCATTGTGAACGGAACTTCCCTTGTTTCTTGTGTCACAAGCTCCTGACAAGGGAAGTCTATGGAACAAATCACCCAGTCATGAAGCTTCCAGCCCTCAGCTGCAAACCCTGAAAAAGTGGTGCATGGTGACCAATGACCTGACACCAAATGATCTAACACCAAATGTCGACCTCTGATGTTCAATGGTTTTCAAAAAATTGTTCTAAAAAATATGTTGTCAGATTAGAAAGTGGTCAGATGAAGAGGAAAAGGATTTGAAGAAGGAATCCAGAGAGGCAATCTGTTAACAAAGGAATGAAAAGACCTAAACACTAACTTAAAACAACTCATTTTTCAGGCGACAAACATGTTGAGGCTTTATTTAGGGTACAGTCTATTTAGGGTATTCTTTTTTACAAAGTAATTTGTACGTACTTACTTTTCTATTTAAGACTGTGTTTGTTTTCTTTCTGTTTTTAGGCGCAGTCTATTTAGGGTATTCTGTTTAAAACAAGTAATTCGTTTTGTTTTATTCTTTGTTTCTGCTAGGCACATGTCTTACTTTATTTAGGGGTAGTTTCTTAATCATGGGTCAACATATGTCAACACTATCTACTGATCTACCGACCTACGTGGTTGAAGGACAATATCCTGCACCCCCCTTCCGGGAGAAACCTACTTCAAGAGCATGAACGGTCTCCATCAACAGCAAAGCGCCCAACATCCTACTTCAAACTTCTACGCTTTGCATGATTCATGCACACGGGTGTTTCATGCCCTTTTCACGCTTTCCTCACAACTGACATCAACTGACAGCATCCTTCTCCCATCATCACCTATCACCAGACACGCCGCCACAGCCGGACACCGCGCCATCCACCACGCCACTCTCCGGCTGGCGCCCGCACTTGCCGAGGCGGGTTGCGCCTGCGCGCGCCGCGGCGCTGCGCAGGGCCACTTGGGTGAGCTCCGTGGGCTGCAGCCGTCGAAGACGCAACGAGCTCAAGAGCTCCTGACGCGGGCGCCGTCGACCGGTGCTTGGTCCAGTGTTGTTGGTTCGCTGGGAGATTCTGGTGGACATTTTGTGGGCGTTGCTTCCAATTGATTGGAAGTCCGCCCACCCCACTCATCATGCATTATGTTTTTGCTGCGTGCGTAGGCTGAGTGGGGTCTGGGTGTGACGTTTTTACCGTTGGTTCTCTATCTTGGCGTGTCATCATCGTTTCTTTCTTAGGGGGTCACCCCCCCGAACCGCGCAGAAAAATAAGCACAGCCTCGAGATGGTCACGGGTTCGATTTCCCCTGACCGCGGTCTCGGGTTCGATTCCCCCCTGCCTGCAACCAGCTTGTCAAGTGTTTGGAAGGTTTTTCGGCGGTTTCCTAGAGGTGTTCCATGCTTTATCATATTTTTTCCCGAACGCGTAGCGAAGGTTTCTCGTTTGACTCTGGGGGTCCACAACTGTCCGCAACCGTTCGCGGTAGAGCGCTAAGGCGCTACCATTGGGGGAAGCTTTTGGAGAGGGTTTCGGATGGAAACGTGACCTGTCAGATTCGTGTGAAATAGCGAGGAATCGTGTGGAAATGTAGGATGTTGGAGTGTGGAGAATGATTTCACTGTGCAGGCGCAGCGTTTTGTGAAATCCGCAGTTTTCTGCGCAGTTCCATTGGGATTAGCGTTTGGAGAGTTGTGTTTTTTGGGGTGTTGGATGTGGCCGTGCCATTGGGGTTTGCATTTCAAGGTGTTGCATCGAAGCTTCTCAGCTGAAATGGCGATTTTGGTGGACGGGAGTGTGCTCAGAACGGGTCGAAATCATTCCAAACGTGTGGTGTGGTGCAAATTTTGTTGAAGCTCACAATGATATTGTCACTTTTCGTGGCAGGCGCAGTACTTTGTGCGGCTTTTGAGGTGTGGAAGTGCGATTTTCGTGGCAGGCGCAGGGATTCGTGAAGTTGCGAGGTGTGACGGAGGTGACATTTCGTGGCAGGCGCAGTACTTTGCGCGCGTTGGTGAATGTCGCTGTGACATTGGGATTGGGGGCGTGTGGGCGGGTGCTATTTGGAGGGGCTGGAACCGCGAAACTGCTTGGCAGGGCTGCTTGATGTGTGCGCTCCGCTGGGTGTTTCCGCTTGACTTTTGGAGGAAGTCTCGTACGAAACGCTTGTTTTGCAAACTTTGACGTGTGAGTTTTTCCCGAGAGCGCCTGCGAAGGGTTCCTCGTAAAAAAGCATCTGCAGAACTACGTCTCATCTACATCTTCACATCTTCACCTCTGCACATCCACATTCTCACCTAAATCTCTGCTCATCTCCACATCTACATTCACAACTGCACATCTACATCTCTGCACATCTTCACATCCTCACATCGACATCTCTGCTCATCTTCATCTTCACACATCTACATCTCTGCTCATGTTCACTCTGCACATCTACATCTCTGCTCATCTTCACATCTACATCTCACATCTTTACCTCTCATCTACATCTCACATCTTCACCTCTCGCTCTTCTTAACTTTCTCTCTTAAGGCCGGGGGCAGTGCCGCCGGACCGCCGCGAAACGCAACCCTCTGCGGAGATCGTGCGTGTCGGATGCGCGAAATGCAGGCGAGGTTGGTTTTTCTGGCGCAACCCTCTGCGGAGATCGTGCGCGTCGAGCGCGCGAAATGCAGGCGAGAGTGCGATTTGTCCCGGTCGCGGGCAACCCTCTGCGGAGATCGTGCGTGTCGGATGCGCGAAATGCAGGCGAGAGTGCGATTTGGTTTTGTCCGGCGCAACCCTCTGCGGAGATCGTGCGTGTCGAGTGCGCTTTGGTCCGGAACATCCACACATCTGCACATCTATATCGCATCTGTACATCCACACTGTCGCTCCTTGACATCTGTTCTGTCTTTCTTTCTTTCTACATATCTTTTCTCTCGCCTTGGTGCACTTACATCTTCGCACGCTCACATCCAGAAATCTACCTCAGATCTATATCGCACCTGCGCAGCCACACTGTCACTCCTTCACATCCACTCTCTCATTCTCTCTTTCTATATATCTTTTCGACAGTGGTGGACAATCACATGTCTCGCTCCGGCGCCTGGAGCAATTGAAGAGTTTGAGCCTGAAGCTGCGTCGAGCGATGACGTCGCCGTTGAGGTTGGAGCCTTACTCGAAGTCAGTGCTGCAAGGGGAGACATTTCCATAAAACCATAAAGAATTTGGAGCATATCTGTTTTAGTTCGTTTTTTCACAACATCTTTTTTTGCGCAAACAATGCCTGTTGGCGTCGTCGGAGGATGGATGGAGGATGACCTCCGTGGTTGGAGTGTCTGGAG